ACTGCTTACATATCTTGATTTCACAAAGCCCTGTAAGTTACAGTCTTCATAAAAGGAACAAACTGCTTTAAAAAGATAATGTTTTAAAGGTTACAAATGCTTTATGGCAAAAATATAAGTGGAATTTAAAATTTACTGTTATTGATTTGATGTACTGTTCATATTGCATTTCAGCTGTAAGACAGCAGTGGATGTGTCACTAGCAGACATGATTCCCAGAAGGGAAACATTAACATTAAAGTGTATGTTTTATCCTCAAAATAAAGCATAAATTAAAAATTACTTTCTAAGAGTTCATTTGCAATATTAAAAAATATAATTTCCAAATCCCATTAAAAAAACCAAAACAAACATAACTGTTCACAAATGAAACATGTACAGACAATCTGTATACTCAAAAGATCCCTTTCTGGCCACAAACAGTGGTGTCAGGTTCTGATGGGCAAAACAGTTTGCATGTGGGTGTGGAGTTCACCTGTTTGCTTACCCTTAGATTAGGAAGAATCTACCTTTTACTACAACTGCCATACACCTCAAGAAATATAAGACACCTCTAGCCCATATACTGTATTAAAATACATGTCAAACTTGGGTTTATAACATGATATCAAATTATAAGTCTAATGACAGATAACTTATATAGAATTAATTTTCCTTTTCTCAGTTCTTCAATATCAGAAAGATAAAAAACCTGTTTTCACCCAAATGAATGAATATTTTTTTACTGACTACAACAGTCACATGCTACTCCTCACTTGCTTCTGTATGACCCAGAAATTATGCCCTTATGAAACACTTTCATTCATACTGGAAGGACTGTCTGTGTCTTTAATCTGTCCAGGCAGAAAAAGAAAACTCACAGCAGAACTCAGCAGACACATCCTGATCTACACGTAGAAAGTAAGCCTCGCTGGCACTAACACAGCTTATGTTGATGATACTGTGCTGTGTTTTCTCAGTAGCCCTTTACTTGGGGAGCAGAACAGGAGAATTAAAATTTTAATAAAAGACATTGCACAATAAAAGTAACTTGCGATAATTGAGGCCATAAAATGGGGTTCCACTTCTGCGCGCACAAAGTCAAAGTGCGCGCTGCTGCGGACGAGTTTGACCGGCGATGGTTTCCGAGCTCCTCCTGTACGGACTGCCCCGGCGCGGCCCGGCCCGCGCTGCGCCAGCGCCACCTGCCGGGCGCGGGCGGCACTGCGCGCCAGCACAGCGCCCCCTCCCGTCCCTGCGCGCACCGCGACCCCGGCTCCACGGAAGGAAGGCAGCGGTGTCCCAGCACTTGGAACGCAGATTTCATCCTTGATACTGTACAATAATACTGTAATTCTATTAATAAGTCCTTCTGCTACTAAGTCTCTGGAAAATCCAGAATTAGAACAATCTAGGCAAAGATGGAAGGTCACACACTGAAGTAATACCTAAAAAAACCACCGAAGTTACAGCTTCCCTTAGTGCAAACTGCAGCAACTTGTTTCTTACAGCAAAACCTGGAATTTAACCTAGTAAAAATAATTTTTCCAGGCTCTTTGATATTTGTCGAGAAGAAAAGAAAACGTGATTGCTTAACATTCAATTTAAAAGATTGCCTTTAAAATACCCCCACACAACCCTGCTCACCAAATTGTTTCACTAACAATTCAGAAGAGCATAACATCTTATCTTCCAGTACAAGCTCTGCCTAACTTCATTGTGACAGAATCCCAGATCTCACACTAAGGCTTCATTCTACTGGTTAAATCATAAATGTAGTAAAAAAAAGTAAATCTTGTTTAATCCTACTGAGCAGTAATGTTCATAAGTTCTTCTGTTTTAGAAAGTAATTCTAGTTGCATATATCTATACCCTAAATGATAAGATGTTTAATGCTTAAAATCTGTTACTGCAGTATTAATTATTTTCACTCTCATGTAGGACATTGACTGTTAGTGTCTCAGTCCCTGCTTTGGTATAATTTTGTAGGTATTTCAACAGAACCCAATATATTTCCCCCTCATGCCCCAATACTAAGGCAGAAGTTGAGATGATTAAGGCCAAAATTGTCACCAGTGACCAATCTGACAAACCTAACTTTTCTATGATATAACTGGCTCCTGCACCTCTTTGCTTCAATAGAACTTCTGACAAATTTGTCCCCAGAAGTGAATACAATGAAGCTAAAAAAATAAATGCCAGGTCACAGATACTATGAAGAATGAGACACATGTAACAGACACCTGTGAAGATCAGTTAGTATGAGCAGCAAATACCATAAGGGCAAATTGGAAAACAGAAGACAAGATTTTTATAGCAATAAGGACTGCAGGCAGAAACACACTCATCACACCCATACTCTTAAAATCTGGAAATTGTGTAGGCAATTGAGGTTACAAGCCAAGCTAACATCTACTGTCTTTCAGCAGGGACCATTATTTGAGTGCTGTGCCAGCCAGAAGCCATCTATTTGTGCTTAGCAGAATGCATGAACAGAGAGCACCTGGGCAAACATCTACCCAGCTGCTATTTGGTTTCATCATGTCACAGTTCTTTCTCCAAGCAACAGAGGAGAAAATGGGAGACTACTGAAAACAAAGTCCAGTAAGCAACTGTGGGAAATTGCCAGACTTATTATGTCAAGATACAGAGATGCTGTGAGTTTGTGGAGAATTCATGAGGCTGTTTGAGGAAAAAATGTGAGCTAAGCCACTTGCTTATCTTGCAGTAGGCTGGAGCAAGGCTTAACAACTGAATGATGCCTGGGGTGAGGCAGAGGTCTCACAGCTCAATGGTGTCTCAGTGAAGCAGAGGAGTGCACCCAGACCTCAGTATCAGCCTCACTCCCCCTTATCCATGCACAACTAGCCTCTGTTACAAATCTGGTCTTTTGGGACGGTAATGTGAGGTGGTAACATGCTGACAGGAGTAATGTCAGGTAGCCTTCACTGCTCCCTCACCTGGGTGGAGGATGATACTGAATTATTAGTGATCTATGCTGCCTTTGTTACAACCAATTCAGCCAAAGGCATCCAAAGATAATTAATATATTGAAAAATGTACCTAACAAAATGAAAATGAGAAAAAACCTGCTTCGCCACCAACTAGGACCACAGCAAGTGGTAACCAATTTTATTTGGCAATAGTCATACCCCCACTTTTCAAAAAAATCTAAAATTGGTATTTGAAATCCTTCATTTTCAGAGTATGAGAACATGACCTTACTTCATAGACAACAGCCTTGCTCCTATCTCCCTTCCCCAAAGCAGGGATGACTTTCTGGTAAGATTTGTGCCTCTGGCTGCATCAAGAGTATAGCTGGAAACAGTTATACAACATTTTGTAGATCTACTGCATTTATCACCAGCAATCTAATGAGTCAATGATCTGCTGCTTCAGTAAACCACATTTGTGAATATAGAATTGTAAAAGTTCTTATTGAACATAACCAGCCATAGTGCCTAACTGGTTATAATCAGAAATTAAGCCAAGCTGCACTCAGCCCCTCTGATCTCTGAGGAATAGCTGGAACACAAGGGTGTTTATTTTCTACCAAATTTCATATGCTTATTGCAACAACAACTGACTGGTAAAGTTACATAGAACTTCGTTGTTAATAAGTGAAGACCAAAATTGCTGCAGCCTCACTGACAAATAGAGACTTCAATTAGGAACTTTCAATGGGAAAAAACCTTTCCCAGACAGCTAGGTTACACTACTGGACTCAGAAATATGCCTTCAATTATCTCAGCTGACTTTTTCCTGTGCTTTGCAGACCTGCTTGTTTGCCACTCATCAGTAGGTGTTAATTGAACTTCTAAAACTGAAGAAGTAAAGAAAGTTAGTGAATAAGGGGCTGGGATTTTCTGACAGTCACAGACAGCGTAGATGCCTACAAAGGGTAGTGAATCTGACCAAAGACTGATGAGACACCAGGAAAGGGGGGGGAAATAAAAAAACAAAAAAGACATCTGTCAACCTCATGGACTCTGCATGTGACCTGTGTCTGAAACAGTTATCATGAGTAGACAGAGCAAGGAAGGACAAAACTGAATCCTGATGCTACAGGACATTAGAAGGGAAGCATGACAGAGATGTAATTCATATTCATGCATAAACTGTAAAATTTAAGAGTGATAAACTAAAAAACTCTAGTTCTGTGTAATTGCTGTCCAACCACATGAGTTTTCAGATTGTTTTTCTTCCTCATGAACTTAAGCCATTGGCTTTTTTTCACATTATACAGTCTTCATCAATTGGATACTCATTTTTATAGAAATAAATCTTTTTCAATCACCAATGATATAACTGTAATCACTTCCTTTTATGTTTTGTGTTCTCAGTGCTCCTTGGTCCTCCTCAAACTTCTGTAGAATTGCACTATTTTTCTTCAATCTCCTCCACAGATTTCTCTATGAGATTCTGTGAAATGTCTTCCCCTCCAGCAAAGCATGAGTCACAGCCTTGTCCACACCAGCACTTACACTGAACTCTAACAGTCTTCATGTAGCACTCCTTGCTGTTGTAAGTGCACTTTCATCTTATTTGTGCTCATTCATTTGTTGCCTCTTAGGGAAGGGAAGAGAGAAAGCCTCCATCCTTTTGCACTAAAAGAGAAGATCCTGTCACAATTGCCTTGTAGTCTAACGCAGAAGCATCTTTCTTCTATTTCCACACAGTGTAGGAAATTATGCCTAATGTTTTCTGCTTTTTTAAGACCCTTCTTTTATCCAAAAAAGATTCAATACTCTAATCACTTCTACCTATTCTGTAATTTTTAATATATTTTATTTTTATCTCTTGATCTCCTTTGTTGTTAAATCAAATTGATAAAACCTTTTCCTTCTCCAATGTTCTTTAAACATTAGCTATATTTATAGATAAAGGATGAATGTGAAACACTGTACTTCTGAAGCTCATAGGAAAAAATAAAAAGCGAGTGAAACAAACCAGAGACTTCTAGAACAAGAACAACAAAAATATGAAATAAAGCACAAATGACAACATAAGATGCAACTTACCCTGCTTGTGTGTTCACCGCTCCGAGTGAGTTTTTATGAGCTGGTGATAAAGTCTGAATTTTGCTCCCACTGGATCCAGACGAAGACAGTGCTTTATTTGAAGAGACACCTTGCAGTTGAAAAGCAAGCATTAAAATACAAGAAAATTTAAGATTTTGCTGCTGAAATGATACAACTTATTAAAAACATTTTAATTGCAGAATTCAAAACAAGAGTTTTAGAAACACAGAGATATGAGTCAGTATCAAGATAACACAAAAAGAAAATGTCTCAAAAATATATAATTGAGACATAGGATTTTATTCTAAGAAAACCTACTGTATCTCAATTACTTTTCTCAGAAAAAGAGGAAAAGAAAAGTCAAAGGTATGTACAAACAGAACATATTTGATATTTGATGACATCTGAAACCCAAATTAGACGGCTGTTTGCATAATTCCTATTTACATGCCTTGACTATGTATTTTCACCAATTTATGATCACATTCAGCAGACAAATTAGTTACAGAACTAAGCATGAGAGATCAGTATTTGATCAATCATGCATTACTACACTGAATGATTTTTCATATTCAATTCAGAAAAAAATTAATTTGACCTGATATATATAAACCAGAATCCTAAGTGCTCAAGAGTCTTTTTAGATAGACAGCAGTGTCCCTTCCAAATTTATTTTAAGTGAGATTTTACAAATCACTATATCAAATCAACAATTTTTCCTGCACAGTTTGAGAACTATTATTTAGAAAGGTCATGGAGCAATTCATAACATTCATTTCATACCTACAACAGTTTTGCTAACACCACTTGGCTGTGGTAAGCGTGATGATGGTGATGGTGTTGATCCTACAGAAGGCATCTTCTTAACTGGAGCAGGTTTGTACTGTAACAAAATACAACCTAGAAATTTAAGCAATTAAATCAAGCTATCTATATAACACAACAGGTATTTTCAGGTACTGTGGGAGAACAGATGATGATTTCCTACTAGGTAATCTGTTTCTGGTATGGGAACATGCAAATAGTTTCTGATAGTCTGTTTTCTAATACTTAGAGATTATACTAGCAGGAAACATTCTCTAACTCAGTGGCTTTGTTGTTCAACTGTAAGTTGTTTTGCATTTTTTTTATTTTCTACAGCTTTTATTAACTTTCTCCATAGCTGGAATTAAGCTAAACATAAGATTAAAAGTATCATCTCATTACCAATTAATTTAAAAGAGAATACTCACAGGTAGAATTACTTTTGTCTTTCAAATCCAAACCTTACTTTCATCCATGTGGTCTGGAACAGTCCCTGCACTGATTCAAAATACTGTGTAATACACCTGAATCCCTCTAAAGCCTCTAATTAGCCACAACACTGCTGTCAGTTGTTCTGTAGTCAGGTGCCTTTGTTTGCCCCTTAAGCAAGTCTTCAATTGGATTTAGAAACTAACACAACAGAAACTCAACTTCCTTTACAAAAAATGCATCTCTATTTCCTCCTGCTATCTTTACCTGTCATTTGCACATTTCTCAATTACATTTATGACTGGTTTTCATTTTGCAACTGCTGCCATCTGACTTACGGATCTCTGCAGTTTAAGAAAGCAAAAGCCCCATCCATGCTTAGTGTCTAATTTCAGTGAAAAATAATAAAATAACAGAATAAAATAGTTAATTATTTTTAAAAGCAACACACTATTTAACAAGCTTGATTTGATGTTGAATGCAAGTTACAAGTTAAGAAAAGTGTTACAGCTCACCTGTGTTCGAGTAGGAAGCTTCCCTTTGGTATCAGCTGCCAATTTCCCTTTATTGGTAATACGTGCAGCTTGCTCCTTACAGAAATTGATGTGCCTGTCAGCTGCATTTTCATTAAATCTCCTCTGACAGTATGGACACTGAATATAATCTTAAAAACATAAAAAATTAACATTAATAATCTTTTTTAAAATGGGAGTGTTTTCAAGTCTTTTACAGACCAGCTTCTCCTCCAGGGGAAATTATGGCTTTTTGAATCTGAAAATGAAATACAGATTGCTAGCTAAAAGCATATTCTCATTTGATGGATAAGAGTAGCTGAGGATTAGAAATAACCTAAGCAAAATCAGAAATACTTTAAGAGATGCTATTCTGCAGAGAAGGTAGCCAAAGAGGTACAAGGACATGGTAAAGAGCTCAGCTGGAAGGACGTAGAGAAGCAGCTACACAAACAAAATAATTTTTTTTTTTTAAATCACAAACAGTTCATTTTGTTCAAAATATGGGAATACATTAAAACCTCTCACACACAAGCAGCAAAAGACAGCAAATATGTTTTCTCTGACAAATTTTGAAGAACTGAGACATACTAACTGCAATACTGGAAGTGATCATTATAAAAAAATAATAAACTTAACAAATAAAGAGAATGAGAAGAAAATCAGCCAAAATTAGGAGCTATCTCTAGAGACCTACAGAAGAAAGTAACATGTTACTTTTGTAAGATTAATTTAGTTACATTGCAAACAGTATTACATACAGGAAATATTACTCTCATTGGGGAAAAAACAGAAAGGGCTACATAAATGCTTAAAATATTAAAAGATACATCATCTGTATGCTGAAAATACATACCTTAAAATACAGTGCCATTGGAAGATGATATGTTTGGACTACAATTTCAAACAACTGGGTATTTCAGTGTCCAGAGATATTAATGCTGTATGCTCTAGATTAGAGCATTCAAAATCATGTAAGCATCAACTTAAAAAAAGCTTGACATCATCAAAGCAGGTTAAATTAGTGTGTTTCTAGGTCATTTCACAAATGTATTGAAGAAAATGAGATGAAATTCAACAGTCACTGCTACCAAAATTACAATTAAATATTATAAAATCTAAAATAAATTTTGGATTACATGTTACTAGTCTAAATGCAGTAGATCTGGCTTAAATACTTGTCCCTTTAAATATTTATAAACATTTTTGAGTAAGTTAAATTATGTAATGACCACCAAACCATGAACTGTGACCCAAGAAGTGTGAGCTAAGGACAGAGGAAGAACACAGAGAAGTGACAGCATGGGAATCTCATGGGGTGATAACATTCTTTATTTATTTATTTTACATAGGGCCTACTACTCTCAGAACACTCGAACATAAACTACACCTTAAGAGACAAAAAATCAGAAATAGAACTGTAATAGTTATGCAGTCAAACCAAAATTATTCCAAAAAAAAAAAAAAAAAAAAAAAAAAAAAAAAAAAAAAAAAAAAAAAAAAAAAAAAAAAAAAAAAAAAAAAAAAAAAAAAAAAAAAAAAAAAAGGCAGCTGTGAAACCGCCCAGATAATATGCCATTTCTGGCTAGTGCAGAGCTCAGTTCCCACAGAAAAGTTTCAAAGCCCACAAATGCATCAGACTAGAGAGGATAAAAGTATACTCTTAAGAATCAGCAACTGTATCTTCATCCTTTTGTAAAACACACAGTGCCAGTCAGATACTTGGCTATCTGAAAGTACTGCTCATAATGTCTAGAAGAACCCCTAGGATTCAATGTAAGCTCTATAAAACAAGAATTAATCAAAATAAGAGGGCAGTACACATACACAGTCAAGTTCAGAGTGACTTGAGGTCCTTCTTAACCTGAGGCTATTCTGCACTTCCTCAGAAAAAGTGGAAGAGGAGATAAAGGAAGCAGCAATATTGGTTATTTGCCAGCTCAGAGCAGTTAAATAGAAAATATGAATATGAGACTCTTCCCATTAAAAGGAAAAATACTCTCTGCTTGTTAGAAACAAGCATGCCCAAGACAGAGCTGAGTAGGAGAGGATGGATACACTCATGGTATGCTCACAGTCTTCTTACTCTCCTACATACCAAGTGGAAAAGGAGCATCAGTAGCTACTCCTCCTGTATTTGTAAGAAGAATATGCACTGATCATTTTGTGCATGGTCTCTTTATTCCTGGTTTCCTCTTCCTAAATCTTACCCACTGCGGTAAGATGAAGCCAGGGGACTAAAACCAACTACAACTAGATATAGATACGCTATATAGATTATTAATGAGCCTTTCTATGATCAAGCCTTGTGATTTTTATCCACAGCATTTGCTATTGGCTTTAAGATGGTTTTACGTTTTAAAATTAGCTTTTATAATATGGCTTTTCAAGATCGTGAATACAGAATGCTGAATAATACAGCCTCTTAGAGTGAATGCATCATTACAATCCTGATACTGGGACTAACAACACATCTCCTGCAAAGAAACAGCATAGGGAACACTTCACATCCTCACTTGAGCACAGACAGGCAGAAGCAAACACATGTTTTTAACCAGTCTTTCTGAAAATAGCCATTCAGCTAATCAAATGGTTTAGCTCTTAGGACAAGAGGAAGAAATATATTCTTCAAGCTATTATCATATCCCATAAGTTAAATGAAAAGTGTATTTCCTTTTCATTCACATCAGACTGCTTGAACACTTTACCCAGTCTCAGTTCGAAGATACTCAAGGACTGTCCTGCCCTTGCTAATACGAACTCCACACATGTCAGATACCCAAAACACATGAGGCATTAAGGCATACACTGCATACATGAAACCAAATGTGAATTCAGCAAGAAATGGGAGAGATTACATTTGAAGAACAGAAAAGTGCATTCCCACAACACAAATATGTTGTGGGTGTCAGCTAATCAAAAAGGCAGGCAGCTACTGTTGTGAGCATAGTATTGAAACAATTTGTCTAGCCTATGGTTTATAGGACAGTAGCAAGCTGCAAATTTGCCCCAGCTATCTTTCCACACATTAAGAACAAAGTAATGGGCTTTGAAATCTACACAGGATGTGAGCCAGCCAGACCCAAAGTTGCAATCCAGCATCTGCAGTGGGATAGTAAGTCATCTTCAAGGACTTGTGAACGGTGTATTCCAACAAATTCCTTTTCAATTCAAATTTCTTCACATTAACTTAAAGAAAACTATCTAAGGAAATTGACTGTTTTACATACCAGGGTCATATGATGGTGGAGGTGGTGGAGGGAGTTTTCCACCGTCTTTAAGATTAAGTCCTTTGGCTGCTCGTATAGTTGCTATAAATTCCTCATGCTTTCGTCTCCAGTTAGAAGGTTTTTTGGGTGGTTCTGGCTAAGAGGCAAAAAAAGAAAGCTCTGTATATTTGAAGTTTTTACTTGAAGCTAAGTATGCACCTTATTTAATATGTAACATCATAGTTAAGATTTCTTCTAAATCTTAGTTGATCTAATTAACACAAGCTGCCAGCAGAAACAAACCTAATTAAAATGCATATATAGTATGCCTAAAATGCTCATATTCAGAGTGAATTATAACATACCCGTGGCTTAAGAGGTTTTACTGTGGGAATGTCAGTTCCTTCTGCTCTCTGTCGGCTTGAATCGAATGTCTTCCTTTTCTTGGCAGAAGTTTTTTGGCAAATGGGTCCATGCTTTTTCTGTAAGCAGAAGCAAAATAAAAGGAGAAATACAGAACTTAGTTTTGAAAACAGAACTCACTAACACATTATTTCCCCTCTTTCTCGATAAAAAAATTAGCACAAACCCCCCAATTCTGATGAATAAGCTCAGACTGCTTTCACTCAAACACTTATGCCAGCTGCTACCTTTAAAAGAGAACTACAGGAATTCACGGATGTATCTACAGAGTCACAAAAACACAGATGATAATGGAGAAAAAAGTAGAAGGCATCTACATTTGCTCCTTGCATGTAAAAAAACTGAGGATAGGTAGGCAGCTTTTACTCTGAGGGGCAAAACAAATCATAGGTGTCTGAAATTGATATTCACATTTAAGGACAGACCAATTTCTATTAACAACGGAGAAGAAAATTTTGGAAATGGCAAACAAAACACTTCATTTACTAGCTGAGACTTAAAACTGCAGAAGACAAGGATTGATTCTGTAACCCTAGAAAAGATGCTTTTAGAGGCTTGTATTTCAGAAAATGATGGGAACTTAAAATTAAACTCCTTCTAAGGAACTTCAAACTTGAGACAACCGGAATCAGTAATTACCTGGGGGGGGGAATAAAACCAAAACCCCTACCAAAACAAAGCACCTAGATCTATTTTATTTAGCTATAGTGAGCACTGCTTAACTTTCGTATCAACTTATCAAATCTAAAAGCCAACATGGCTCACACCACTTACCAGTGCTGCTGGAAAGAAAGTTCTTCCACAAATCTTACATGGCAACAGATCTCCAGTTTGTACTGTAACCTCACCTTAAAAAAACCAACATACTTATTTAAGAAAATTTGATTAAATTAATGACAAAACATTATTTCAAAAATGCTAACCTCATATACGCATAGACATAATAACAGGTGGTACTGTAAAAATATACATCCTTTGACTTGTGCAGAGGCTATGCAGATGAGAAAGGCAAAAGATATACCAAGTCCTCAGGTACTTTTGGAATCTGTCAGGCCCAGCAACATGGCACCAAGCAATTCTGTTCATTTATAATATATAACTCCACTCCCTTAAAAAGATGCATATCAATATGGAAATAAAAAATCTCTTTTAAGTCCCAATGAGAGCTCAAATACACACCAAGAATAAAACTATTTAGTGGGTATTTTCTGTGTCTTTGGAAAACATCAGATTTAATATCAAATAAAGAAAATACATGTTCGATCATTTATTTTGCTCTACTAAGTTAAACTATTCCACTTTCTCTTGTAAAGAAAACAAGTCTTGATGCTATTTTTACTATATATTTTATTGAAATTTTTTACTCATGGGTTACAGAATTATTTCTGATGTCCTAATCAAGCATTGGTAACAAAAATGTAAATAGCATATTTGACATACAGCAGATCCACAGAATCAAGACAAATGACCAGCAAGTCAAAGTATCAAGGCCTATGCAAGCAAATATATTTATATAGCATGCATTATGCAACAGAGTCTTGGCAGAGACAAAAACCTGCAAGGTTCTCAATAAAAGGCATCTATTATATCTAGTACTATATCAGAGGAATACAGGGATATTTTCATATACATATACATCAAGAAAGAAGCAGTAAATTTGGATTACGTTTGAGATGTACTAGTAGCTTTCTCTGTACTCAGTATGACTATTGCAGACAATACAACTGCCTCTATTTACATCATATTAAAATAAAAACCACTTTGAATTGACTTGTATTTTAGATGAAGCAGCATCTTAAACTAACAAAGATATCAATATAGCAATGTTCAATAATTTTATCAGCTTTTGTTCTCAGCTTCCCAGCGGAACATCTTTTCCATCTAAGCATACACACTTGCTGACTAAGTGTATGACCAGTCCTAAAAAAATGAATAATTTAATTAAATATTTCACAGCAAACAAACAGATTCAAGCAGCCACAGTTCCCACTGGAAACCTTTTTTGCCCAAATGCAAAGATTAAAGCTGAGTGAAATCTGTATTACCAATAAGCAATTATTGTCTATTTCTGATCTTTTCAACTACTTAAAGCAAGTTCACCCCCAGTAACTAACTGCATTGCAATGTATTAGTTGTATGAATATATTATGGAGCACAATGCATTTTAAGAATTATAACTCACATGCAAAGTGCAGCTTAAAACATTTAGTTCATACTTTCAATTAATTTATATACCTTTTCCATGTAGATATGAATACGCTTCTCCTTACCACAGCAGGACTGCACTGACAGTAACCAAGTTTTACAAATGGAAAAGTCATAATCAAGTTTCCTTATGTGCTATCTAAATATCTGTGCATTTAGATGCACACAAGTATAGCAAGTAGGAAAAATGCAAATGAATCTTGATTCATGTAGATGAATTTTGGTTATCTTCTATTCTTGCATTTGAATTATACTTGAATAAAGATTTACTAGGAACATGTTGTTTAACTGTATTTTTTCAAACTTTTTAAATAAAATCATGTCCAAATTCTTTTCTATAGATCTGTTTTCTTAAATCTACAAGCCTGAGCACATGCATGCTGGTACAAAGCTTAGATGGCTGGGAACTTGCCCTCACCACTGATCTGAAGAGTAAGCAGCAATGGTTTTAACCTTTTCTCAAGTAGTCCACTCAAAAATACAAAATATGCACAGATTTATTTAATTACTTCCTTCTTCAGAGTCCCTAGCACTCTTAATAATATAACTTATATCACTGCAAACTCACTTCTGCTTAAGAGATCAACTTCTTTTTATGACATCATTCTGATACAATCCTCAGCTTTGCAGAAACAAGTGAGAGAGGCATTTCCAAAAAGTATCAAGTAACACTGTTCATGTCTTCAATGAATTAGTTGAAATAAATCAGAATTAGTGATCTTGACATAAGGTATACAGTATATCATTAAGAATTTGGCTGAGAAGAGAATTCTTTCAAATACCTTTCTTAGTATAAGAAACTACATGTCCCACAGTTTTCTTCTGTGTTCTAGAATTTGGGCTGGTGTTTAAATTCCACATGAAAAGAAGCGGACTCAAGCTGTATTTACATATGACATACCAAAGCACAAGGAATGCCAATTACCACTTAAAGCAGCTGCAGTTACAGACCTGGATTTCCTTACAGCATTCCCACCCTCCCCTGTTGCTGGTAGGTAATCACATCTGCTTAGAGCTATTTCTACTGCCAACACCTCCTGTGTAACACGAATTACTGACCCAAAGCACATAAGGAAGTTATTTTTAAAAAATGGAAGTTCCTAAAGTTTTGTTGAAAATGGGAAGCCAAGAGTCCTTTATAAAGGGGCACACTCGCCCCTTTAGCTTCTTAATTTCTTTGTGATTTTCCTTGCTTTTAAAATAAAAAAAAACAACCCAAAACCAAACAAACCAAAACCACAAAACCCTAACATTTCTTTCTAGGAGTCCCTTACAGAAAAAATAACTTAAAAGTAAGACATGGGAATAAAACTGTGGAAGTTGCAACTGAGTTAATTTTGGCTTTGTTTTGTATATTTTTTAAAAAGACATTAATGTGTGATATCTACTTTTTTCCTGAAAAAAGTTAACCAAGGTGGTTTTTAATCTGGGATGGACTGCAGGTCAAAGAATAAAAAAGAGGAACACTCGAATCAAGAAACAGGAGGATATGCTTAAGAAATTGATCTGAGAAAAGAAATTGGTAGTAAGATAGTGTCATAGCAATTTTCTTCAGTCTGTAAAATTAGCAGTAATGCAGAACTTTTAAAAATAATTTTGGTTATACAGCAGCTACACTTCTTTACCTTTTTACCAACTTTAACACTGCTAATCACCAGCAGTTTAGATGTCTGTATTAAACATGAATGGATATGGTTAACTTGGAGAAGGACTGAAATAATTCTTACTGCTTATCTAATCAAAACATATCCAGAGAAAATATGAATATGATCAAAATTGTTATGTGAACACCACAGAATATTGAGATAAACTCAGAAGATACTGAGCTTTACATGGTATTCTACCACTTTCCTGAGACCAGGTCTCAGACAAAAACACAGTGTACAACCTATCATGATTCTGGGTATCTGACTTAACCAGACTGGAAGCTTATTAGCAGGATTACAATAATTTTATAGTTCATGTTTGTAAACTGCCCCTGTCAGGGCTCCTCCTCCTCCAGCTGTACTTCCAAATCTCTGGGTTTTTACCTACACAAGTTACTGCACACATCCCTTCTGAGTATGGTTACAGTCTATTTGCCTATTCTTTCTGATCTGGAAGAGTTTAGCTGTAAAGTCTGCATGGATCACTAAGTCTGACAGTACAGCTATACAGTCTCCAGATGTATCATGGCTCTTTCAGTATTGTAGATAAGTTTAGACTTTCTTGAAACCTAGATTTCAAGAGAACAACTTCTTTCTTTCTCTTCTCTCATATTCAAATAGTACAATTGATTTACAGCAGAAAGGGCCAGCTATCAGTTCTATTTATCTTTCTCAGTACAATGTGTGGACCCATCAATACATACAAGTTTGACCTAACAGTCACAGCCATAGCTGTCACAGCCACTTGTTCTTGCTGTCATGTTTACAGATAAAGCAGTTGTGTAAATAGACTTCACATCTGGGAGCAGAAGCCTCCAGTGTTGCTGAATAACTGAAGTTTTGTTACACTTTTCTCTTTTGGAGACCTCTATATACCCAAGTATATGTGTGCACTTAGATACAAATTGCAGAAACAAGACTGCATTTTGTTAACAGTATTTCGTCAGGTTGCAAAATCTGACTGCCCTTCAAAACCTTTTATTTATCGACAGCAGTGACAGTACTAAACTATTTAGGCCACAGAACTATGATAATCAGAATCACTAAGTCTCTCTGAATTCAAACATGCAGAAACAGCCTGGTACAATTCCCTGCCTTGGGACTAGGTGCCTATTTGAAGCCAGCAAGTAATCTGCAAGTGTTGAAAGTCATCACTTGAAGAATACTTGCCAAATTCTTCTACAAAATTGCATTTATTGCTTTTAGCATAACTCCATTCTCATCTCCAAAAGCAAGGTATTTGTCACTTAAGAGTTCCATGTATTTATGGTACAATAAAAAAATGCTGTTCATTCCCCACTTTAGTTAGAATCTGTATCATCAAGCCACAGCATCTGGTTCTTTGAGGACTGCCCAGTCTCTAACATATGTCCAATAATCAATAACGACTGGGTTATATTTTTTTAAGCACCACACTAACTAACCATAGCCTAACCAATGGCAAATACTAGAAACAAGAGCCACCTAAAAATTATACCAATATAGTGATGTAGGTAGGGAACTTCACAGATTCACAAATGGTTTGGGTTGGAAGGGGACCTTGAAGATCATCTAGTTCCAACCTCCCTCCTGTGGGTAGGAACACCTTCAACTAGACCAGGTCTTGCACAGAGCCTTGAACGTTCCTTTAAATTAGAGCATTAATTTTTTCTATTTAGAGCATTCATTTTTAAAAGCAAGTTTGAAGAGAATTAAATAACATAATGAAAATATGAATGTACCAAAGTAGGAAAAAAGCATTCTAACAATGATTGAAGTTTTGCAAATTTGCATTATTTTTCCAAAAGGAATTTTGAAATGAAAATGCAAGTAAGGCGAATACACTGACTGTAATTTTCAACAACAGGCAGTACTTGCCATACTTCAGTCAAGTCTGCTTGATAAATGATATTGTGCATGTTTTACCCCACCTTCTCACCTGTGCTATTCTGCAGTTTGCAGGAAAGAGACAAAGGATGAGAAAATCATAGTAAGCCCTGCCTCTTAGTATTCAACCA